CAATACAGTTCTTTGCCGGGACTGCGCAGCCTTGCTGTTTCTAGTGGCTGCGTAGGAAAGCAATCTGCGCAACAACTCAGGTTGCCGGGACCGTGTCAGGACCAACACTGCATTCCATTTTGAGCCTAGCTTGGGCTGGCCCCTCTTTGCTTGGTCGCGGGGCTTTGGGGCCCGGCCCCCAGAAGCTTGGAGCCGGGCCTTTGATTTGAAAAGCCTGAGAGTCGTCCCGCCGAGGGGGGGCCCCCCACAAAACGCAGCCGGATACCCCCCCACCTCGCCCCCAGGCTTGCCCCCCCCCCCGGCCCCCTTTTTGTGCTCAAAGACAAAAAGGAAAAAGGTTTTCACCCTTTCCGTCTACTGAAACCATCCAACACGCCCTCTGAGGTCGGCAGATGGCTTCACCCGTTGAGAAGGTAGATATCCAAATACCCCCCCAAAGAAACAACCATACCACCACCATGCCACCATGCCACCATGCCACCATGCCACCAGCAGCCGACAGATCATTTGTCAATCAAGACATATCGCTGGAGCTTTGGGGATGGGGCTTCTGGAAGAGGGTGTCCTCAGAAGGTTAGGGGTAGGCATTCGGGGGGTGGTTTTTGGACACGCTTCAGTGGTGCAATGGCGTGGTTCAGTTTTGGGTCCGGATCCGACAACCCAATTATCTCGCCCGAGAAGGTGGAGGCAGCTAATTTGCACAATCGCCACCATGCCCCCGCACAACCACCGCCATATTGGGGGGTAGAGCGGGCGAGGGATTGAGATTGGAGTGTCTCATAACTTTCTTTCCGTGACAGGGTGCTCTTTGGCAGGATCATGTGCCCATATGCTAGGTGGGGGAGAATGCCACGGAACAAGAACAGGCACCCTATAGAAAAAAAGAGACCATCTGACCTCAAGCACGACCAAGCTTCAGAGAAAGAACCATGAGAACACAAAGTCCAATCAATGTTTGCTGCGAGTTCGCAAGCATTGCCACTATTAGCTGCGTTCCAGAAACCAATGTCCACCTTGCCGTGCTAAACATCGACAAGACTCAGAACATTGCTAAACACAAGATCACATGTTTTCCTAGAAGACACTATTGGCTTATTGGGTGGTTTCTGTTAAGGCAACTTGGATGTATCATGAATTCAAAAAACACTTGTCGGCTGACATGCACCCTTCGTGATTTTTCCAGCTGTTCTCACACTTACCTCTTTGGTCTTAAGTCATTTATAGCAGATCCATAAAATATGGAACTCGAGTCTTGCTCTGCAAACGTTTTACCTGTTACCGTTACCATGCTCTTTTCCGATCCCTCCATAGAAATGGCAGGTTGTGAGCAGTCTCTTCGGCGAGCCCGGCGAGAGCGGTAGCCGTGGGAATACCGGGCCAGCCGGGCCAGCAGGTCCTGCTGGTCCTGCTGGCGCCGCAGTCCGGGGTCCACCGGGTCCTGTTGGACCTCAGGGCCCTCGCGGTCCACCGGGACCTCATGGAGATGCTGGACCCGAAGGCAAATGTTGCGTCAGGATCAAAGTGTTGATGTAGCCTTCCTTGCAGGAATTCCTGGGCCGGAAGGCCCGGTGGGAAGCCTTCCAGCGGAGGCTCACACATGGCAGCAGATCCTGGAGACTTGACAATCTTGACGCTACTTGAGAGAGGGTTGGCTCGCCAACAGTCGTGGAAGTGTTCATGCGAGCTTTCCAAGGACTACTACCATACTGTCCTGGGAAAGATGGAGAAGTCGCTGGGGAAGCCGAAGCCCTTGAAATACACCGAAAAATCCACCGCTCTTCTTGCCTGACTCAGGAAGCACCGCGCGGTGAACAAGGATCTAGCATCGATAAACCAGCAGGCCCCCGCTATCCTCACGGCTGTGAATTTTCTGGGCAGCGTTCAGCAGAATGGCAGCTTGACATTTTGAGGCCGCTCTCTACCATGCGCGCGATGCAGGAGCAAGGCATCGAGTCTTGGACATGAAGCCCAGCCCAGTTGCCCAGTGTCCAGGGGATCTGTTCACATCATGTAAGGAGCCACGGGCTTGCACGCATATCTTCTTCGATCCTATGCCCGCGTAGCTGCCTCATTGTGCGGGGCCTACTGGAGAGGGCGCAAGCCAGTGGCAGGCCACGAACCTCCCTCTGCCATGTTGCCATCAAGGTCCCAGGCACTCCGACTAGATCATGCGGTCTCTGGCTCCTTTGCAACACAGACGCCAAGGCTGGCATTCGTTAATGCAACCATAGACAACTGCAAATGCCTGCTCGGAAACAGGCAAGATTTGCAGGACGCCAGGAAGCTGCTAATGGTTGTGCCGCTTGCCAGCAATGGACGGGGCCGTGTTGGGGAGTATCCTCGAGCCGAGGAGAGCCCAGAACAATTTCATTCGACAGACCGAGACAACGCACAGATGGCCTTCTGGAGCTGGCGGAGCTGGCCTTCTGCAGGATGGGATGAAAAGCGGGACAAACACAGCAGCGACCTGGCAGGAGCGGTAGTCTTTTTATTGGCCACACATAAAAAATGGAAGTGCAGAGAAGTGCTGAACGTCCGAGGTCTTGGCCTGGCTTTTGACTGGCCTTGGCCTGCTTCGGCCGAGACCTCAAAGAGTCTCAAAGAATGAGTCTCTTTGAGTCGTCGATAAAATCCTGCTTCGGGTTTGGCATCTCATCTGTTGGCAGATGAAAAGCAGAGAAATGAGGGAGGCATCCCGACAAAGCGAGCCGATGCGTGAACAAAACCATGTAGTGTAGTGTCCCATCATTCTTGGGCCATGCTCTTGCTGCCTCAAGTCTCAAGTGCTCCCACACCCACCCTAATGCACATCCAAACATGGCGACGGGCCGTTGTGTAGTCCATGTTTGTTGTGCTTCTGGTTGATTTCGGGTTCTCCATACGTGCATCAGCCAAGGCCGCTTGTCTGAGGGGATGAAGCCCGCACCGGGACGAATGTTTGCAGAAGAGCTGCCCGCTTCATGTCGTTTCCATGGGCGGGAGAAAAATCAGGAGCTCCAGTGGCTTGCATAGGCTTGCATGAGACATTTCCTTTTCCGTGATCATCCGCAGATGTGCTCAAAGCTGAAATTGAAAATGGGTGCTTTGCAACAGCCATCTCGGACCGCGCGGTTCAGCTATGGAAGCGGACCCGGTCCTGACGCAAGATGAGATTGAAGAGTACAGTCGTATCAAATGCTGTGTGTGCGGGGAAAGAGTGGATGCTGATGAGGTTGCAGAGCACTCAAGACGATGTGTGCTGGAACCAGCCCCAAACCTTCGCCTGCAGCTTGATAAGTGGAGCATCATCTCTGCTAGCATGACCCCCTCGGAGCAAAGAGCATTCTTGCACATGCGACGAACCGAAGAGCTCGCAAAAGTTGAAGAGATCGAGGCTAGCTTGGCAAAGCGAATGCCACAGCTATGGTGGATGGGTGGTAGATTTGGCTACATCATTAGCTCCAAGTGGTGTCGATCCTGGCGCAGCTTTGTTGGTGTGGGCCGGCCCACTATCGAAACTAGGGACCGACCACCGTCCCCTATCATCAATAGTGATCTCTTTGACATTGATGGTACCCTGCGAGGTGGTTTGCAGGAGGGTCTGCAGAATGACTACCAGATTCTTGAGCAGCCGATGTGGGAATTCTTCATTCAAGTGTATGGAGGTGGTCCAACGATCCTGAGATACAATCCAGCAGGGGACAGCCTCAGCCTTGGAGAATCTCACGCTTGCGAGGTTGCCTTTGAAGGAAAGTGGCGAGACGGTCGACCTGACACGGGCCATGGCCGCTTGTTCGACCCTTTCAGCGGTCGTGGCTTCGACGGAGAGATCGCGGATGGCTTTCTTTGGACTTGTAAGGGCAAAGGGCTTCTGAAGAGCGGGAGCCATTTTGAAGGTGAAGTTATCCAAGGCTTGCCTCAAGGCCCAGGCAGGGAGGTTCGGCCAGATGGGAGCGTGCTTGAGGGGACCTTCGACCGTGGAAAGCTTCATGGTTTAGGCCGTTTCGTTGACGCACATGGAATGGCCCAAGAGGGTGAATGGGAACATGGTGAGCTGCAGGGCATTTAAATGCTTTTCCCAGGGTCTTGCCTGCTTTGCTGACTGTAGATCTTGGGTTCGGATGCTCGGCGGTCTCCTGTGTTGGTGCCGCATGCTAGCCACGGCGGTGCCAAGCTTAGAAGGATGCCTGCGCTTCTATCCTGCAAACAAGCAGAGAAGCACCGGTGGAGATTCGTGTTCAAAAAATGAAGAAGCAGCTTGCGCGTGCGACAAGAAACGCTTCAATGCACATCCATCGTCAAGTTGTTCTGTTCTCCTGCCTCATCACCTCCAGAACCAAATCAGCCAATGTGGCTCAATCCCCGCTTTAGCAGCATGGTTTGTGAAAAACGCTCAATATCAGATTGCGCGGAAGCCGCTTCTTCAGTGTCAATGTCACTGCGCACACATGGAACAGATGCCCTTCGTGCCTTCCAAGGTGCAATGTGGCAACATAATGCTGTGATTTTGGCCGTTGCCTGTACTGTGCTTCGAGGCCGTTCTTAGAGTACTGGCCAGTTCTTCTGAGCAACCTTGATGCCTGTGGGGCAGGAGCTGGCGGACATGACCCTGGAAAGGGGGAGGCATCTATTACTTTGCCGTTCCGGTCAATATTCCGATCTACTGTGCATGTCAGCGGCTACAAAGTTAATTGCGTCTAGCAAAGACTCACCACTCGAGGGCTTAGCAGTCTCATGTACAAAGCTGTCGCTGTGTTCGCGGAGGGGAGGCGAGTTTGGAGCGATCATCCATGAGCAAGCAGGTCGGATGCCCCAACAAACTGCCCTCGTCCGCTCTCCGCCCCTCCACGCACAGAGCGGATTTTTTCATATTGCATTTCGCACTGACTGATGTACTGGAGGGTCCCAAACAGGTGAAGATGCAGATGGCGGTGGACGCTGCCGGCTTCAACCGACAGATCTCCGTTCCTTGCATACCTTGTTGTGCGCGCGCAATCTCGGTCTTTTTTGGGAGGATGCAGTCGTTTGACGTTTGCCCAGGCTTCTGTGCCAGCATCCCTCCTCAGGTCACAGGCCGGCTACAAGTCAAGGTTTGCAGGATTTCACAGGCTCTCTCAGCAGGTGATGTGCCCTCTCAGCTTGTGCTTGCGGGACGCGTGAGGACAGAATGCCGAGCATCAAGCCCCACCGCAAGAGTGCACCGGCAAATGCCTCAGTGCCGCTGTTCCTTTGCGCAGTGCATAATGTTCTGCTTGTTCAGGTCTTCGTGCAGGCGCCTGGGCGAGATCATTGCAAACTGCCCCAGTGCTTTAGGTATGGTCTTTGATACGTATATGTCTGCCGCTCCACTCCGGAATTTGGCAAGCTATTGTGACCAGTTGGGAAAAGCATCTGCCATCTGAAGTGTGCCTGCAGTGACAATTTCCGCTTAGTAGTAGGCATCATGCCTGCCGTCAGAATACTTCGCCTTGTGATGCAGATATTGGTACCCCAGCAAGATACCAGGTAGAGTATTAGTTCAGAGAATGCGCCTCATATGAAGCGTGGCCCGTGTTTTGGTCGTTGTCCAAATTAACATATTGGGACCGACATCAACATTTCAAGATAGGGTTTTGGCTTGCAAAATGAAAAGCCGCTCAGCAAAGAAGATGGGCACGACACTCGGAGATGCCGTTCCATCGTAAGCTCTAATTTGGGGCTTCTCCACATTGCCACAGTAAGCGCCTTTGTCAAGAAAAGCTAGCGCTGTAAGCTAAACCTTGGGTTTCGTAAGCCGTCGTAAGCAAATTCCTTACTGTTAAAGAAACCGGATAAGAATTTTTACCCCCGCTCAGATGGCCTTTTCAACCTGTCGCCGGGAACGGCCTTTCCGGAAGCAGGGAAGCCGGTCATCGGAGACAGCGTTGAAGTACCAAAGCCGTATTGCAAAACAACAGGCTAGGGTCCTGCAGCAAAACTTGGAATACGCAAAGCCGCTCACCCAAAATCCAATATGAAAACCCCATAAGATGCGAGAGATAACAGCCATTCAAAAACGACTGAGGAAAGCAAACAATTCAGTCTGCAATAGGCAATTATGGTAGTTTTAGGGGCGTGTAGAGAAGAGCGGCCAGCGATACAAACCCCGTGTGAATGACCAACTTCTCAACTTGATACTGCGCAGTCTGTGGAGTCTGCACGAGGCTGGTGAAATTGCGCATCAAGATCCCACTCCAGCAACGACGGTGCCGGCTACCATTGCTGCAACGACTGCCCAGGCCACAACAGCTGCGCCGACTACAGCAGCCGCAACAACTTTGGCCGCTGCACCATCATCAACCTCAACGACCACCACGGTTACAAACACGTCCTTGCATTTAGGGTCAAGAACGCCAACTACCATGACTGTGGTCGCAACTTGTTAAGTTTCTGGCATGTAACCCAGTGTAGAATCTAATCCGCATTGAACTCCTGCCAGAAGCTGTCAACATTTCACCAAGGTGACGCACATTGAGGTGCACACTGCAACCATCGTCTTTACAGAGCAGCCGTCAACGACTACATCCACGACCACGACGTCAACAACAAACACGACAACGACCACAACAGCAACTCGGAAGGAAGTCAGTGGCCAGTTTTGCATGTAGGACCATGTTTTGTCGCTTTGTACATAAGCTGCGCAAGCCAAGCTTGGGATCTTTTTATCCAGAATGCTGTTCTGATCTATCAGAAGGAGCCGAGCGGCCAACCAACCTTGATTGTAAAACAGTGGGTGCATACTTTAGATGCTGCCTCTAAGAGTAACACTTTAGGCCTTGTTTGTAGGTTATTCACCATACTTTTTGTGGGTGACTCATCATCTAGTCTGGGGTGACTGGAGCCCGAAAATGCTACTGCGGGAGTGGCGGCCATGAGGGAGAGCCAGGCGGTGCGCGACGGGGTTTTGATGACGAATCCGAACTATAGGCAATAGCGAGTCAGCGCGATAGTTTCCTGACTTCGAATGGCGTCCCCTCAGATCATTTAGGGGCTAGTGGAACTTGATCTCCTGCATCATAAGCACCAACTGCCCTCCAATCATGCAAACGCGGCCGCAACTTCTCCTGTCACCACCTCACATCATCAAGCAGACGTAGCATCCCCACCTACACCTAACCATCGCATCTGCCATTTTTTTTAACAGCATCATTTGGCGGTCATCACAGTCGATGCGAAATGAACATGCTTGGCCTTATCTACCTCAATCACAAGCAGCATTGTCGCAGTCGTCACTGAGTCGTCGTCATCCAGCGTGTGCAAATCATCACCATAGCCAGCGTCATCGTCATCACCATGACTATAACCATTCTTGGGCCGGCCATGTTGCCCTGCTTTGCCTCCCTCATCCACGGCCGTCAGCATCTTCATCAATCAAGCAGATCTTTGGACACTGTCTCTTCATGCATGCCATCCTGCAATCAGCCGTGAACGCTTTGTCCTGAGAACGCGCGCGCGGGCGAGACAGAGAAAGCTTTCGTTAGCCATGTGTGCCCCTCAAGTCAAGCTCAAGGCCCAGGACATGTGGCGTTGTAGCCTTCTGCACAAGCGAAGTGCTGAAGGATCCTTGTAGACTTCCATGCACGCACAAAACTTCATGGGAGTTTCCTAGGGAGAGAGAATTTTCCCGATGCTGTACAGGCATGCCACCAGTGTTCAGACACAGTCAGGTAATATTGATGCCTGCAAGGAATTTTGAAATCCTGGTTGTCAGAGGTGTCAATGTCTTTGCATGTTCCTTGCTCCATGAAACCGCGTTCGGAGGTGACCAAGTCTTTGGCAAGCTCATGGCTACCCATTCTTCCTTTGCTGCTGACGGCGGCTGGCCTGTGTTTCTAATTGTAAAAGAGTTATGCCGCCCAAAACCACGGGAAAACAAGAAAGCAAGATGGTGCAGCGGGAAAAACTAAGTTGAGCAAATGCTTGGCATGGGATGCGGCTGCTGTTCCAACGTTTGCAGTGTGCTTTCCTATCGTGGCTGTTGTGGCCCAAGTTGTTTGCCATCTTCAATGCGTCCATGCAAGCTGGAACAGCCAAAAGGTAGGTTTGGGAAGTCAACCTGAAGGAAGCCTGCGTTCCACAATACAGCACTACGTGCTGGTCGCGCCTTGTCTTTGGTGACTGGCTATCTTTACCACATTATGTTGACCTCTTCTGCGTGCTCCACGTGCCGAGGTCAATGATTTTGGCCGCCCTACTCCTTCTACCAGGTCCGCGACAGGGTCAGTGCACGCCTCGCTTGTAAACTTTTGAACACAGACAACAGATGACAATACCGGGCCTCGCACTTTGAGACGCCCGAAACAAATTCTCGAGCTTGTCCATACTCAGTGCATTTTCGGCAACCAAGGGGCCCGATTTTGGAGACGCCGTCATATAGTTGTGATTGGCAGAAGCAGGGCTTCCCTCCCAACCGGATGAGGTAGCGCTCAGCACTTGCCAAGGCTTGCACTGGAGGCTCGCATGTGCTTTTTACTGATATCTTCTTTGCAGTACGATTCCCTTTGCACATTCAGGTTGGAGTCGATGGTAATATTGGAGGGCCGTTGATTCGCTCCAAGGCAAAGTCTGTTCAAGTCCATAAATCGGTTCTGGCATGCTCACATTCTGCGAAGGGATATGCGGGTGCACGACATAGACCGGAGAGCTTTGTGGAGCTGAGGCCTGAGTTTAAACACGGAAAGTCAGGGCACATGCACGAGTCCTGATCCAGTGGAATGGGTTCAGCATGCCAAGCCTTCCAGGCAGATCCAGACAATGTAGTCGGCCCCATTCGTTTCAAAGAAGTGGAAATGTCAAAATCCCCTGGTCTGGCGGCAAACTGTGCGCCGCGCCATACGTGTCCACGCGCTGCCTGGCGTATGACTGACTGATACGTCGGCCTACTTCTGAAGCAAGTCCAACACTTCCTTTGCGTGAAAAAGTTGTTCTGCATTGAACACGATTTGATTTCCCAGAAGCAGAAGATCGTTCAGCACCGAAATGACATGTCGGGGAAGCACTGCTTGCAGAAAGGATCAGAACAATCGGAAAGTCGTTGAAGACCCCGGAAGCAACGAGTTCGTGGAGCAGGAATCACAGGCTTCCATGGATTTCCACCACGGATATTCACAAAATATTGGCTTGGTATGCTGGGAGTGGGAGAGGGGAGTGGGTAGGGTCTTTTGCCTCTAACGGCCGCGTCCTGGGCCTTGGCGGATATGATGCCTGTTCCGATAGATTGCTGCAAACACAAAGCACGGCTGCCACCACTCTCACCACCAGCTTCACTAGAGCTGCTGGAGCCAGACATCTTGGTGATGCCTATGTTTGTTCATAGCAGCTGTCTTGTAATCAGCTTCGGCGGCGGTGAATGCCGAGGCAAGCTAGAAAAGAAAATGGATCACTGGCACTTCGGCACGCCAGCTGCAAAGAGCTAGATTTTTCTCCAGATTGCCGATAATCTTCAGTTTAGTGTACATCATGCAGGGCATTGGTTCTATGCCTGGAGCTACAGTCTTACTCAGGTGTTCTCAGGGAATCCCATCTCGTGCCGTGTGCTGCCCATCTTCATGTGGAACCTGCGGTGGTCCAATCTGTGCGCTTCTACCAGGCGGCAGTGCCTTAGCACATGCTGGATGGCTGCCAGTAACAAATCAAATAAGGATCCATGAAAGATCAAATAAAGATCTTTAAAAATACAAATATTCTGTTGCAGAGGAAATGAAAGGGAAGTAAGGAAGGATCGACAACATCAAAAAACATATCCTGTTGAGAGGAAATGAAAAGGAATATCCTGTCTCAGGCAGGAAGGAAAGAAAAGGAAGGATGTAAAAGGAAGGAGGAGAAGCAAGGAATGAAGTCCGAAGAAAGGGAGGAGCACTGTCGACATGTATCATCATATTCCATCATTGTGCCTGGAGCCTCGGCTAGAGGCCGAAATCCTGGAGGCTTCGGACCGCACCAAAAACCCTTGCTGTAACCAAATAGTATCGTGTCACCAGTAAGGGAGAGTTATGCAGATCATTTTGTTTCCACAGAGGGGGGCTGCGCCCCGCCCAACCCCCCGCCTGTTTAATTTCCATCCAGGCTTCATGTTCTTGTCATTTTTTTGGTTTGCATAATTTCCATGATTTTCATTTTCCATCATGTTTCATCAATTTTCATCAATTTTCATCAATTTTCTATCATTTCCATCATGTTTCATCAATTTCCATCAGTTCTCTAGCATTTTCATCATGTTCCCTCAAGTCTCATAATTTTTCATCAGTCTTCTATCTTTTTTCATTAGTTCTCTATCATTTTCGCTTTTGTCTAGTATTTTCAATTTATTTTCTATCGTTTTCGCACTTTTTTCAGAATTTTCATGATTTTCTTGTTTTTTTCTCAGTATTTCATCATTTCCATCATTTTCGATGATTTTATTTTTGTATCATTCGCATTATTTTCTATCATTATCATATATTATCATCATTTTCTCCATCATTATTCATCATTTCCATGATTCTCATCATGTTTCATAATGCTGCATCATTTTCATCATTGTTCATCATTGCTTACCATGTTTCATAATTTTTCATCGCTCTCGAGTGGGGCTTGTTCACATTTGAATATTTTGTGTATTTTTGGCTCATCGTTTTGTTTCTGATAATCGATCTCGATTTTCTATCATTTTCATTGTTTTTATTATTTCATTCATGTTTATATCAACATTTGTCTTTCTCTCTCTTTTTCATTATTTTCCATCATTTTCATAAGTTCGTATCATTTTCATTCTCATCATTTTCTATTATTATCCAACCTTCTTCTCACATTTTCATCATTTTTCATCGCTCTCTCGTTGGGATTGCTCACATTTGAATATTTTGAGTATTTTTTGATACTTACTTCGACCATTTTTTCGATCTTCGGCTTTGATTTTTTGATACTTACTTCAATTTTTTGATCCCTCACCCGAATAGCCTACATTTACATGTTGTCCTCAACCCATGGCCTCAGCTTGACACTAAGGCAACAGCTGCTGCTTCGTAAACATTCTCGAGACTGGGAGGGAATGTCCATGCCTTAGACCACTGTCCAAAGAGCGAACTTGTGTCGTACTGTACTGGCCACCAACATTGGATAAGGTTCGACAGAGGTTGGGGCTCCGTGCGTGGTGGCTAATGGTTTGAATGCAGACGTTGTGCTGCTTGGCTGCCGTGGGTTACAGAGGCTGCATGATTCAAGTAGCATGTTTTGCAACAACGGCAGGTGTGATGGAATTCCGTCCATTACAGTTTGCTGCCCTTCCGATTGCGGCGGTTGTGGCGGCGAAGCATGCAGCAATTTCCCTGGCGGAAGTTTCCTGACACGACAAATGCGGGCTAAGCCGGCTAAGCTGTCGAAGCAGCAAGCCCCGCTAATTACAGCCTTCCCCTCTAGAATGCTTAAGAAGCGTTGAAAGACGTGTTTGCATTGAGCTTGTTTCGGGAAAGCCCTGGCTAGTGCTCATGCAGACGAGTCCAGGTGAAAATTGCTGCCACCGTCCCATTGTTGGGCCCCAAGCCGTGGATGAGTCACCCAGAAATCTGACATGTGATCCTGGAATCTGGGCATTCCCAAGCAGCTGTGCTGCTTTTGTGAAAGGTTGGGTCTGGACGCAAATGTTCCAGAGACACTTCGCCGCCATGTGCTATGTATGACGAGTCGTTCCTGCATCCACCAGCAACGGTTGCAGCAACAACGGCAACGATGACCAGCACGAGCACTTCAACCACGACTGGCACGACGACCACGGTCACTGCCACCACCACCACAAGGACCGTCACAACTAGCACCCGCACAACCACCACAATAACAGGCACAACAACCATCACCCTGACCAACACAAAAACATCAAGCACCACGACAGCCATTACTGTCCAAATAATGGCGACCTCCAGAACTACCACTCTCATCACAGAGCAATGGACCTGGCCTGTGAGATAATGTTTCCTCATGATGATGGAGGATCGTAACGAAGCCTGGAAGACGCTGATCATGTAGTCCAGTGGCATGCCTATTCATAGTGTTGCCTCACATTTGGCAGAGTCACAAAGCCCGCCAGGCAAAAGAGGTGCACGCTCTCATGCTGTGCAAATGGGCATTGTGGACAAAGCGTGGTGCAGATTGTTTACATCCGCAGGATTTAGGGTCTCGAGAGAGCCTACGCTATGGCAACGCTGGAATGGATTTTTCCAGCATTTGTTTTGTGCTTATGTGCTCTGGCTGGGGGGCAGGATGGTGAAACATCCCTTGGCCTTCCTGATTATGAGATTAGTGGCAGCAGTACGGCTGCGAGCTCTAGCGTGCTGAGCAACCTCTACAGCTCTCACAGCCATGAGTGTGGTGGCCATGAGGAGCAGTGGACCCGATGTGAGCAAATGCCGGACTGCGACACCTGCCAGCCCGTAGATTGCATGTTCTCGGAATGGAGTGACTGGTGGCCAGGAGTTGGCTGTATTGGGCTGATGTTTCGCCATCGCAGTATCGCAGTTCCAAGCAATCAGTGTGGTTTGCCATGCTATGGTTCCGGGATCGAGTCAAAACGTTGGTTTGCATCTGAATGTGGGGGCACACCGCATGATTGCTTGATGTCTTCCTGGGGTGAGTGGAGTGTATGCAAGAATGAAAAGGATCAGTCGATCAGGAAGCGCATTGTCCAAAGACCATCCTCCAACGATGGAGAGCCTTGTATGGGCTCTACATCCGAAACTAGACCATGCGGAGGTCCTCGGCCCGAACCATGCATTTTCGACCCATGGCAGTCTTGGACGGTCTGTAGCGCTTCATGTGGCGAAGGACGCTTCACTCGCCTCCGCAAAATCAGGAGTGAAGGGCACTTGAGTGGCCAGACTTGCGAGAGTTCTTTACTGGAGACCCATACGTGCCAGTTGAGGCCATGTGTGTCAAAGGACTGCTTGCTGTCCTCTTGGACGGACTGGAGCTTCTGTGGGGCGGCAGGCATACAGCGAATGAGGCACAGATCTGTTCTGCAGAGCCCTGAAGGACTTGGCATGGAATGCAATGCCAGCTTAGTCCAAACTAGTGGGTGCGCGAACAAGATTCCACACCACTGTGAAGTCACATCCTGGTCCGAATGGTCTACATGTGATCGTACGTGCCACGGTGGGCAGAAGTTCCGTGCTCGAGAGCTCCTACATGGCAAGTCTCGACGGAATTTCTGTGCGGCGATAAAGCTTAAGCAAGCTGCAGCCTGTTCAACACGTCCTTGCTACTCACACAGTCTTGATTGCGAGCTGAGTCATTGGACCTCATGGGGAGCGTGCTCATCAAAAGTGGGGGTTGGTGTGGCGCACAGGAAGCGAACCATTCTTAGACCTGCAGGGTTGGATGCGGATGGATGCTACGGTATCATGGCGGAGCTTGCAGCATGCAAGCTAGCTCCACCACGGCCGATAGATTGCATCTGGGGCGTGTGGAGTGAATGGAGTGGCTGCTCATGTTCCTGTGGAGGCGGAACCAAAAGACGAAGCCGTGCAATCGAGATGTCGCCGCAGAATGGAGGGGCGCCTTGCCAGGCGAAAGATAAAGAAGTGATAGCTGTTTGCAACACCATGAAGTGTGACACGACTTGTGAAGATGGCTATTGGGGTGCGTGGATGGACTGGACGCAGTGCTCAGCCACATGTTCAGCGAGCTACCGCTCTCGTCGACGGTCCTTGGAGGTCAGAGATGATAATCTAGTCAAAGTGATTTCGTTCTGTCTTATTGGTGCTAATGTATGACTGTTGTGACCCGACACATGCCTCAAGCCAGCAGGTACTTCCAAACGCTTGTGGGTCCGTACCAACAGGACTGCGAGAGCAGTTTGAGCTTTGCGACGACCTCGATGACTGTGGGAGCGACAAAGACTGCTCACTATCATCTTGGGGCCAGTGGTCCGAATGCAGCTGTAGCTGCAATGGAGTTCGCGAACGAAATCGTCACATCACTGAGTATGCCAGAGGCCAAGGGCGACCTTGTGATGATTTGCAGCTCAAGGTAATTGAGCAGTGCAACCCGGTGGAAGGTGCTGAGCCTCCAGAAGCCTGCCAGGTACAGAAGCGGGATTGCATTCTTCGTGAGTGGCAAGCTTGGAGCACATGCTCCACCACCTGTGGACCAGGGCAACAGACCAGAAAGCGCAGCATTGCCAGCCATTCAGAACATGGTGGCCTTCCTTGCAAAGGAGATTTGATGCACACCCGAGAGTGCAATGCTCAGCCTTGCCATTCAGGTGGTAGACATGATTGTGTCTTGGGTGCTTGGTCCAACTGGGGCAGCTGCAGTCATTGCGGCGGACAGCGCAACCGTCATCGCATCATTGTATCTCTGCCAAACTATCGAGGAAAACTTTGTGAGGATCGCAGCACGAAGGAGGTGTCAAACTGCACGTCGGTCTGCCATGAGACGCATCTGTGCGCCTGGTCAGAGTGGTCTCGAATGCAATGCTCCGACCAATGTGGGAGTTGGACGACCCTTAGGAGCAGAGAGATGCGTCTCTTGCCGAAGAACACCTACAAAAGCAATTACTTCTTCAAGGGTGACAAGCACTCAAGCTGCTTTGGCTCGCAGGTTGATGTTGCCCAGTGCCCTTCTACAGACTCCTGTGCACAGTGTTCTCCTCGGCATTGTAGTTTTCATCAATGGAGCGAGTGGACTGATGCCACCTGTGTTGGTCTCTGCGAACGACAGCGAGTCATCAGTCAGATGAACAACGAGTGTGGTAAGCCATGTCAGGGGCCGCTTCTTGAAACGAAGCACTGCCGCACAGATTGTGGCCATGCCGTGGACTGCAAGCTTTCACAATGGACTCCTTGGGGCCATTGTACCAACCTTACCTCGGCTGCTATCAAAGGGCAGCACTATCGTCATCGGCACATTGTAGTGAAACCCGAGAAGGGTGGCTTGGCTTGCAGCGGTGACCTGCTCCAAACCAAACCATGCGAGGCTGAGATGCCTGAGCCTTGCTTGTTCGCTCAGTGGTTGTCGTGGTCCCGGTGTTCGGCAGTGTGTGGTGAAGGCACACAAATGCGAACTCGCCACTTGCATCAAGTGGCTGAGGATGGCGGTAGACAGTGCCATGGAACCTTACAGCAAGTCCAGGCATGCCGCAGCTGGCATGAAGGTTGTGAAAGCCAGGTGCGGGAGGACTGTGAGCTTGGCGATTGGGGGGACTGGAGCTCCTGTGGCGTTGCCAAACAGAGAGAGAGGAGACGAAGCATTGGCAACGAAGCCCGCGCAGGTGGTCGGCCCTGTTCTGGGTCTCTCTTAGAGACTGAAAGCTGCCGTGAGGACTTAGATTGTGTGATCTCGATCTGGACAGAGTGGGACGATTGCTCTGTGTCCTGTGGCAGCGGCCATTCCCGACGACAGCGTCAAATTTCCAGATTTCCGAAGTTTGGGGGCAAACTTTGCCCAGAAGACCTCATCCAGATCAGAGCATGCACTTCTCAACCGTGCGAGTCTGAGGATTGTCAGGTCTCAGAATGGCTGCACTGGAGTTCTTGCTCAGCTTCATGTGGATCTGGGTATCAGACTCGCACACGTGAAGTTCTGAAGCTTCGTGGTCCGGGGGGACTGGGCTGCTTCTCTGCTTTGGCTCAGAACAAGATTTGTCATGGCCGCAGTTGCGTCACAGACTGTGATTGGGGGGCTTGGGAGCAGTGGTCTGACTGCTCCCAGACATGTGGTGGTGGAGTCATGAAGCGCACCCGAAATCTGCGATCCATGCCAAGCGCAGGTGGCGCAACATGCTCTCAAAAGGCTTTGTCAGAAGTGTTGCCATGCAACTTGGGTGCCTGTGGCGTCTCCTGCATAGACGGGGCATGGGAGGAGTGGGAAGAGTGGGCCCCATGCTCGCGCAGTTGCAATGGTGGAGAAACATTTCGGCGGCGTCAGATTGCAGCAATGGCCAACTCTTGCGGCACTCCAGCAGTCGGCCAAAGCAGGGAGGTCAAGTTCTGTAACATCGACATCCCCTGCCACGGCTCCAAGGACTGCCTCTTAACGCCTTGGAGCTCTTGGAACGCTTGCTCCTCATCTTGTGATGGAGTTTCCATGCGATCGCGGGAGGTCGCTGAGTTTGGCCATGGTGATGGCCTGTTCTGTTCAGGTGCACTCAAGGAACTGGCCCCATGTAATCCTGCCCGCGAAAACCACCAGCTTGATGAGTGTGTTCGTGGCCCGCCAGTGGACTGTCAGCTTCAGCCTTGGGAAGCTTGGACCGATTGCACAGCCACGTGTGGTGGCGGTGAGCGCCGCAGAAGCCGGCAGATAGCTCAGGAGGCTTACAACGGAGGCTTTGGTTGCCAGGAGCCGCTGCTAGAGGTCCTTGAGTGTGCACGCAGCTTATGCTACGAGGCACATGATCCTGTCGACTGTGTCCTGGGCGAGTGGCACAGCTGGGGGGCGTGCAACTCATGTGGAGGAGAGCGCACGCGAATCAGACACATATTGATGTTTGCGCAAAACGGTGGCAAGGAATGTCCTCCAGCTGATGTTGTGGAGACAACAGAGTGCCCGCACAATTGCGGTACAAAGTTTGCTTGCACTTGGGCGGTGTGGGGGGCTTGGAGCCAATGCTCTATGTCTTGTGGAGTCGGAGGGCGGCGAAAAAGAATCCGGAGGCTTGACAAGGTTGTGACACCAATTGAGTACCGGAAGCCATCTCCCATATACCATCAATCCGGCAGATGGAACATGCTACAAGAATATGGTGCAATGCATCGCAAGGTGCAGGTACTCGAGGGCAGACATGGACAAGAAGTGATGCTAGCTTTCCTGGCTGGCTGTGTGAGCATGATGCTGCTGGGTGTGGTCTTGAGATCCAGGCATGTGCAACATGGTGTTCCTTCCGCTGAAGATCATTCAGATGCAGAAGCGGCGCTTGTCGCAGCCCTTTGAGTGCTTTTCTAAGGATTGTTGTCGCAGTTCTGCCAAAGCTGCAATGTGGCAACTGCATCATGTGTCAGGGTCACCGATTACCTTGAATGACTCAAATCTTAGTTGAACATGTTTCACCGAGCTTCTAGACCATTTCAGTCATGCTAAAGGCTGGCTGTTGAGAGAATTCTTGTTAATCATCCTCGGCTTGTGGTGACTTGTAGCATTTGTGGCAAAGGCATAGGACAGACTGCAAGCTTCCTGATGGAAACCAAATGCGCCAGACAACTAGTTTTTTTAGAACTTGAATCTGTTTATGCATTCATAGACCAGGCCATGTGCAGGGTCATGCGGCATTATGTTTTGAAAATGCTCTTGACGTCTGAGTTACTCTATGTCTTTCTTGTGGTGCAACTGGTACACGGTTCAGCTTTCAAGGTGCTGTGCTCGAGCAGTGGTGAGAGGGGTCATGAACGGCGCTTCTGTACAGCTCTGTGAGCAGTATCTGTATCTGCAAGCCAGCCATGACCACCCTCCTACTTCAACGAACGTCGTACACTGGATTACAAACCATACCTACATGTGATCAATGACAAGACATGTGGCTTCCTGATGCCCATGTACGTTGCAGCTAGACCTTTGTGAGCTGACTGCCGAAAGAAATTCAAGATGGGGCAGCTCGACTTGGCCTCAGCCGTTGATACTCCATCGTAGCTGTAGATGAGTATTGATCTGTTAGACAGATGTCAGCCATGTTTTTGTGAGCTATGGTAATAATTAATAACCGTACTAGAAGAAGATGGTGGTAAGTCAAGTAATGATAGGAAAGAAAGACAGAAAATAAAGCAGCAAGAAAGAAAAGGAAGATGGTGACAAAGAAAGAAGGACAGATTCTTTTTCGAGTGCTACCAGGGTTACGCCTAATTATTGTTACGATGATTGATATTACGATTGTTTCCAGATTTCAGTTTATATCCTCTCCATTCTTGCTACTATCGCTATTGTCTTGTCATGAAGGAGGGGGCGATTATGGCGTGTAAGCAAGGACAGAGTGTTTCATTCATGTCTTGCACATAGGCTATGTCGATAGGAGGCGACATGTATGTGCTAGCTGGCGCGCTTGAAGGCAAACTCTCGCTCATCCCAACCGTCTTGATACTAACATTTCTATTCTTCTGTAGTCTGCAACTGTCAGTATCTGTCTTCATCGCAATGTGTTCCTTGTTATCCTGACAGTCTTAATGAATACAACTCATCAGAGTTCTCAATAGCTGTAAACATCCAACCTACTATGTCATATAGTCGAAAACTCCTGAATCTTGTCAGAAGCCTGATAGTTCTAGGATTCCAGACATGTCTCAGGTATGGAGACAGTGGAGCATATGAACTAATCTCACATATGCATATTGTTCCCACCTTTCGTTGTATCCGACATAGGATAGCCCGAATCTGCAATATTTTGGAAAATCTGAAAATGCTGATATTGCGGTACTCCCACTGTTAGCCATGCCCGCATATTCCGCATGTCGCATGTGCTTAGCTTTTCTTGTCGTTCCTATGTTCTTGATTCTTGATACTCCCAAGACTCAAACTGCTCTCTCTGATCCATCATGGGCAATGTTATCGCTACTGTTCACGTACCATTTTTCTAGAATTTTCACGTTGACTGGGCGATTGGTACCTTGGCATTACTTGTAACATGCTCATTGGAATTGCGAGCTTGATTGCTGTTGCTCCTACTAGTACCAGTGCTAGTACTAGTGCTAGTACTAGTACTACTAGTACTATTACTACTACTGCTGCTACTACTACTACTACCACTACTACTACCACTACTATCTACAACTACTACTGCTACTACTACTACTACTATTATTTTTATTTACCACCACCACCACCACCACCACCACCACCACCACCACCAGCACCACCACGACTACTACTACTACTACTACTACGACAACAACAACTACTACTACTACTACTACTACTACTACGACGTATCGGTTACATTTATGACGGTCTTGTTTTCTCCACTTCACGGATATAGGCATCCTGTGACACCTTCTGAACACAGTGTTTGGTATCGCGTCTCTTGCTTGACTGTGTGCTGTCCGTTTGGCTGTGCTTCTCTGTCTCTTAGTCCCTTGTCGCACGTTGCTATCAGCAGAGCTATGCAAATGCAACATGTCCACATCCATTGCATCGAATTCAGGTGCAGCTCAGCTGTAGAGCAGATTTTGAGCCGTGGTGCTTACTACTACTACTACTACCACCACTACTACTCTACTACTACTACTACTACTATTACTACTACTACTACTACTACTATGCGCGTGCATATCTGGCTGCGGGGATTTTTCTGTGTTTGTCTTGTCGGCGTTTGGAAAATCGACAACCTTCTCAATGTTTTTGGCTTGTGGGTTTTTTGCCATGTGCAAAGCATAGTGCGTTTAACATTACGAAGTGCTTAAAACATTGCGAGGGCCATCGATTTTGCACGTCAGGAGAAGAAAGTCTGATCGTCTGGAACAATAGTTTGTTACCATTTCGGGATTGAACCTATGTAGAAATGAAGTTGGGAAAGGATTCAATGTCCACGTCCTATGGGGCCTTTTTAAAACTGAACTAGATATCTGAGCAACAACCAGGCAGTAAGGGGGTGCTCACGCCCCAACATCCTTGTAATTACCAAAAAATGCACATGAACAACGCCTTCAGAAGAATATGCTAAGCCCTTCATGTTTGTACTGTGGCTTCGGGGTGCTCTGGTCACCCTATGGTCCTAGGCCACACACTTTATCATGGGTATGGTTTGAGCATGGATGCTTTGGTCATCGGACGCAGTCGAACATGAAAGTTATTGTGGTTTGGGCAAACATGCTTTGGTCATCGGACCGTTGCCGTACTTCATTACGTGTAGATATCTGGGTAACGCTATTTTAGACTGTATTTGTATCTATCTTTGCAAAGGAATATCCCAGAGCCACTATAAGCTGTAAGCCGTTACGTCTTCTTGCGATAGTTTTCGACTGCTAACTTCAGTTATTACGGTTATTGTTACACTTCTTACAACATGATTACTCTCCTTGTTGCTGGCAGTATTTTTTTTCTACTTTATCATGACTACTCATGACCGCGACTGTTGCTCGCATTGCTGTCACAACTAGTACGAGTGTTCTTTATTCCTGATCTTGTTTTAGGGCCTGGCGGCACGGGCCAGCCGCAACCGTAAAGCCTAAACCCGAAAACCCTCGACTCTTCCCTGCTGCTTGTTCTCTGATCGAGAGACATGTACGAAGAAATGACGTTCTTGCTACCCGGAATGGTGTTTTAGGAAGGTCTTGTGCTCTCTAAGAACAAGGAGCCAAAATGGGGTCCGAATTGTGCTGATATTGTTCCTGTACGAGGCGTGCAGGCGCGCGAGAGCCTGTACTGGAACATCATCAGCACAATGGGGACGCCATTTGGTTTAAGGAGGGGTCCAACACCCACAGTTTTTAGGGTTTGGCCTGGGCAATGCACGCCAAACGTGTCTCAGGCTTGTCATGCAGTGCGGGTCCCACCAACATTGGCCTTTACAACCACAACACTGCCCAGAGTGCCTATTTTGAGCGTTTTGAGAGAGAGAGATAGCGCATTTTAAGCGCCGGCAGCCCCAAGAGCCAACACCATGGGACGTGTTTGTACCCCCAATTTCCCCCCTGACACCACACACGTGAGGTTCCAACACCCCCTCAAAACCCTTGGTATGTTGAGGTGTCCAAAAGTGAGGAACGAATGCCCAATTGTGCTGATGATGCTGGCCGGAAAAAATTGCCCGAAACCCTCCCTAGCGTGGGGGACAGCCTCAAAAAGGCATCCCAAAATCGTATTACCCCAAAACCCGGTTCCAGGCGGCGGTTGGGGCGTCACCCCTTTAAAGCTTTAGCTGGGCGTGCATCTGTGCTGGACCATGACGACCTTCCAGTCCGCCGACCGAGAAGCGGAGAAGTTGCGAACGCAACAAGGCGTCAATCCTAAACCCCAAACACAATAAACGCGTCTGGTAAGGGATGTGGATGACTTTTCGCAGCCGTGGCTGCCTTTGCTAGTTGACGATTTTGGGGTGCTTGTGAAGAGGATAGGTGCCCCTGCGGAATTACCCCTTCTACCTCCTTGCGAGATGAAAAAAAAGGGGTGGCAAAAAAACACAACAAACACTTATACGCCCAGCCTAAACCCTAGGCCCTAAGGCGTTCGTGACCCATCGTCTGATTGAACATGGGCAATCTACAGGTAACTAGCTGGTGCCTTTCGCGCTTTCAGCGTCTGGCACGAGACCAAGCGGCGCAGCAAGATTAGTTCAAGCTAGGCCGCCAGGACTCCGCAGCCTTGCTGTTTTCAGTTGCTGCGCACGAAATCAATCGACGCAAGTAGCAAGGTTTCCGGGAGTGTGCAGGACCAACACTGCATGTCATTGTTGCAGACGTGTCCAGGCCTTGATGAGAGGCTGGTTTGGGAGGGCGCCCTGATGGGCATGCTCGCCCTCAGGCCCGGGTCCCTGGTCGCAAACTCAATGATGGCCTTAAACCTTGGTGTTTTCAGCGGCTGGCACGAGACCAATCGACGCTATAAGATTAGTTCAAGCTAAGTTGCTGGGACCAGCACTGCATTCCCTTGTTGCAGACGTGTCCAGGCCAAAGGGCCTGGGGCCTGGCCACCCAGGACCCCTCCCCCTCTGCGTTGTTGGACGTAGGGGAGGTTTAGAAGACGGTTTTGCCTTCTCTGAAACCATCAACACGCCCCCCAAAGGCCGGCGGATGAGAGTTGCTTCGTTTATTATCATTGCCAAATCGAAAATGTCGGAAGAACACATATGTTTTCATGTAAGTCCATGTTTGACAATGGGAGAGGGCTGCCCCGCACCCCTCTCCCAAGGGGGCCGCGCCTCCCAACTCCCCGGTTGCGTTGAAACAAAAACGGACAAAACCGATAACACGGAACAATCCAAGACCGCGCAAGAGCATTCCACAACTCCAACAGCGGCCTGAAGCCATGGAAGCACCGAAAGCTCTCCCGGACGAGCACGTGCTAGCGACGACAGCTCTCCTTTTCGCGACCAGCACGTGAAGGAGGCAGTTCTGCACTCCGCAAACAGGGAGTATGAAAAGCGGCGCCAGGTTTGCTCTTTGCGACCAGTGCGGTGTGGTTTGGCTTGGGATTTGGTTACCTAGGCCAAGGCACGCATGTAACCCTCGCCTGTCCCGTGCCTCTACTTCCGTCTGTGCTTGTCTTGTCAGGTCAGCCGTAGCTACGGCTGAGGATGGAGGATAGAAGAAACAATCGAGTTCAAGTCAAATCAATGCCAACTGTTACAGTATGTGTCACCGCAGAACATGCGAAGTCATGTCAAAGTACAGGCCGCCTTTATTTATTGTCAGCCACGGGCTGTCCAGGCCGCCGCTGGACCCTTAATTTCAGCAAACTGGCAAAATTTCCACACAGGATTTGATCATGAAATTTTGCAACAGCACAAGTTGCAATGACGGCGTGCGTAGTGAACGTAGTAAGCGCATAGCAAACCCGAGCAAACAGCACAACCCCCCAAAATGCCTTAGGGGATGTCAGCGTGTGGCGAGCATTAGATATGCTGTCCACGGGCAGGGGATCAAAAACGAAATAGGGATCAACGGGAAGTCAATGTCAAAAAATGATAAGGTCAGAAAGAGGCAATCAGGGCTGCGGATACTCGCGACTCGCGGAATGCAAAACTGTCGTTGCTGTTGGAGCCTCGTTGTGGCGAAATGCAGCGCTGTCAGAGGCTATGCCTCTGCAATGGAAAGCAAGGCAACTTCCTGCAGAAGCTTTGCAAGAAAAAGGGTCCTGGGCATTTACCTTGTGGCAGGTCTGCCACTAGTAGCCCGCAGTCTTTGGCCTATCTGGCATCAACAGGTATTAGGCAAAGCCCTCCTCATTAGCACCCCAACAAAGTATAGCACACGACTCGGACAAGAAGATGGACTTCAAGCAGCCAACAGCTGCCGAAAGGCCGCGCTTTCCAATTTGCGCAGCCTCGGGCCACATCTTCCTTTTGAGGGGTGTTGATCGATGCTTCTCCCCTCTTTGCCCTTGACTCTGTGCCGAGGAGTTGAAACTCTCCGAGCGTTGCTCTAGCCTGGAGGCTTCCTTGCCGCTCTTGCTAGGTGTGTGACTCCTTCCACTTGAGCAGCAAGGTTTGCACCTCCGTGGCTGATGGGAAGGAGCGCATTGATACAGCGGAGGCGCACATCGTCTCTGGAGAGCATTCAGACAATTTCAGAAAGCAGCCTTCAAAAAATGCCGAGCTGAAGGCTCAGGAACTCTGATTCCCTCGCATTTTCCTATTTTGGAAGGTTTGGCTCAAAGGGTTGGCTAGGCCTGGAACATTTTCTCTCCCGGCGGAGGAAGGGCGACGTCTCAGAGCTGCTGCCTGCTTTGGCACCAGCGCTTTGAGCTCCAGAGGAAAACTTGCACGAGCTAACCCAGGCGACACCAGTACATTCACTCCCCTGAATACGCACTGCCCGCGAGGCATCCACGCCACGGTTGTCCCGGGCTCAGCGCTGTTTCAGTGATCTCTTTCAGCCCAGCACCACTCCAATGAGATGTTTTACCGGTTCTAGTGCATGGTGAGGGACAGCCTGACGATTCCTGACAACTTGAGCCTTAAGCCGAATGGCTGCACACACGCAAAAATTGCGGAAAGCTGGAACTTTTCTTTATGATTCTGGATGCAGGCCGTTGTTTGCCATGTGCATGGGATGTGTTAGAAGAATGCGTTAGCTCTTCCAGGCAAGAGAGAACATACGTGACCACACGTGGTGACGAGACCACAGCTTTGCCCATATCCATGCGGTCGCCTGCACCTTAAGCAATGCTCGAATCTGCATGTAGTTCGCTTCACGAGGAAGTGCATGACCTAACGGCACCTTGAGGCAGGCACCGACTATACGATTATCTCCTCGTTTCGAAGTCTGAACCCTCAGTGGCAGATCGTACGCACTTCTGTTGGAAGCTTTCTGTTCCATCTAAGGAGCACCGCTGAGACCCAGTGAGTCGTACCGTGCGCCATGACAGAAACTTGTCATGCTTCCGCGCCGGACCGGACCAAAAAGATACGCCTATTGTATCCTATTGTGCAGCAGCCTCATCATGGGAGGCATGGTGCCGAATGACATGGATGAAGTGTGACTGGAATCCCCGGCTGCCATCACTATCTCAAGATCTATTAGCCAAGAAGCGTTGCGATGAGCCTCAGCAGAGATCCAGAAAGTTTCTCGCGGATCTCGCTGGGGAAGTGAGGCAAATGGCAAATGGAAATTCAATAATGCATGATGCCATGCTGAAGTTGAGAAGGTAGTGATGATCATGGAGACACGTGTTTGCCGGTCTGGCCTTCCCACACCTTTGTCTTGACATGCCTGTCCAAGCGCTTTCCGCTGGCCCAACAGTCGAGATTTGCAATGCTGCCGCTCAATCGACTTTGGTTGAGTCTGTAAGTGAAGAAGCCACATTCTCTAAACGGCTCTCCAGCTTCGGCAAGCAGAGCAGATGGGAAAGCGCATTGTTTGAATTGACGGCTGCAAGAAGACGGCAGAAGCAGATGAGCATTAGCGCGTATAATGCTGTTGTGGCAGCCTGCAGCAGCGGTAAGGCCTGGCATCTGGCACTTTTTACAATGGCTTCTGCGCAGCAGCAAAACCTCCGCGTCAACTCGATAACCATCGGGGCAGCAGGCCTTTCTTGTCAGGCTCGAGGTTTGTGGCGGCGCTGTGCGCAGCTGCTTAGTGCTGCCGAGCGCTCACACGTAGAGGTAAATGTGATTTGCTGCACGGCATTGCTCCATGCCTGTGGGCAAGCAGCTGAAACAAGCAAGGCCTTAGAGGTTCTGGATCAGATGAAAGAAAAGATGATGGAGCCAACACTTGTCAGCTACGGAGCGGCACTCAGCGCTTGTGCGCCCGAGGGACGCTGGCAGGATGCTCTCGTTTTATTCCAGGAGTGTAGGACGCCCAACCTCTCCTGCTGCAACGCGCTCCTAACATGCCTGGAGAAGGGGCGGAGACCTGAACAAGCCATGAGCATTCTTAGCTACATGGAAGGTGCTGGATCTGGTTCAGTGTGTCCTTCACCTGACGTTGTTAGCTATAGTGCGGTAATCAGTGCTCACGAGAAGTGTGGGTTATGGAGCGCGGCTTTTGACTTGCTGTCGCGGATGCAGGGCAGAGTGGTGCAACCGAACGCGGTCACTTTCAGTGCTCTGATCTCCTGTTGTGAGAAGGGAGGCAGAGGTGAGCTGGCAATCCAAGTGTTAAGGATGATGCAAGCATGCTCGCAGCAACCCAACCTGATTAGCTTTGGGGCTGCAATCAGCGCATGCGAAAAGACTGGTGGCTGGGAGCATGCGTTGGGCTTCGTCGAAGAGATGTTGCAAGTGCAGCTGCAGCCGAACTTGGTATGCCTCAACGCTGTGTTGAGCTGTCTGATGATCGCCGGTAGACCTGCAAAGGCCATGGAGCTATTGGCCTTCATGAGAGTTGCCTCGCTGCTAGCAGATATCATCAGCTATTCGACGACAATCAAGGCCTGTAGCAGGAGGCAGCAATGGCATGAGGCTATGCATGTGCTGGGAGCCATGTCAGATGGCAATGTGGAGCCAACCTGCGTTGCATATGACGCAGCGTTTACGGCTTGTGAGGAACACCAGAAAGTGGAATATTTGTGGCTCCTGCATCCAGTGACGCAGCTGGCTCTCGATGCATGCCAAGTCCTGAAACCTGCTGCAAGGAACGAAGCCACTCTGCACTCTGCCTGACATCGGCCCTGAGACGCTGCGGTCTATCGCCATTTCCACTGCGTACGGGAGCAGGCGGCAACCCAAGACCTACCAGAATTTATCACCTAAGGCGACGGTGCCACGCAGGATGCCTGTGACATGTGGGCCCGACTTGCTGCTGCTTGCAGGTTCATTTTAGGACTGGTGAGCGGGATGCATGTAGCCTACGATGGGAAGCAGTGCGCCAACACCGATGTCTCAAATGTTGTTGGACAGCAGGTTGGTGCTCTGCTGTATCGTATGGTATTGTATTGTGTTGTATTGTGCTGTATTGTATTGTACTGTGTTGTATTTTGTTGTATTGCATGGTGCAGCCACACAAACGATTGCATGTAAATCTACTGCAGCCCACCCCCATAATCATAAGGCCCTTCCTTGCTTCAAAGACATTTTCCCCCTCGGGGCTATCGCAGCAGTTTGGCTGGTCAGTTTCGTGTTTTGTGAGTGACGTCAGCTCGCTCCTCACTGCTATTTGCCAGCGGAAGCACTACTTCGGCAACAACACAGAATTGACCAAGGTGTTTCCGCATGGCTGTCAAGGGAGATGTCGCAGCCCAAAACTAGCAACACCTGCTGAGATCATGCTCTCCCAGACTGCAGGCGTCCAGTGACTTGCGAGCTCTGCAAAACTCCTTTCAGAACATGAAAGTGGAAGGTGATTGCCTCAGACGATAGCACTGCAAAAGTCACAGTGCAAAAGGATCGTTGAGCTTGTGCAGGCAAGAGCGATGACGCCTCCAAAAAGGTGCAGCTGCAGCAGGACATCAGAAGTTGTCAAAGCTGTTGAGCTTGCCAGGCGTCGTTTACCTACAATGCGGAGCGCGTCCTTGGCAGCGGTTCTTTCGGAGTTGTGTACCAAGCCCAGGTACGAGGGCATTCTTAGAAATGCTGTTGCAAAAGGACCCTGCGCTGCTTCTGCGCTGCTTCTTGGTTGCAGGTGGTGGAGACAGGAGAATCTGTCGCCATAAAGAAGGTTTTCCAGGCGCAAGCTTGATGACTTCAGTCGATTCGTCTGCCGACTCTTGATGTGTCCCAGCAGCGCATTTGACAGGACAAGCGATACAAGAACAGAGAACTGCAAATCATGAAGGAGAAGCGCCTCGGGAAAGGTGTTTACCTGGAATCACCTAAAAACATCCTGAAAACCCTTCTTGTGATGTGTGGCATGGTCCCTGAGAGAGCAGACTCGCGGTCACCAGATGCAGTAGTTTGCTAAGTATGTTGAATAGCCGTCGGCAGAAGCCGGTAGGTGGGAGCAAAGCCAGCTTGGGCCTCGCGCTCGCGCAAGTCTGGGCTCGTCAAAAAGGTATGGAATGATTTTCCTTGATACGATTTGCAGTATCACCGCCATCGTTGGGGTTCGGAGTTTTGGATTATCAGCGCCCTCCCGTTCCCTGGAGTGCAGCCTGTAAAATTTTGGGACGCGCGGCTGTCTCTTGTGTCGATATGATGCTAGACCCCAAAAGGTCTTCAAACATGAATCGGCAGAATGTCCTTCAGCAGTTGGCTAGCACATGCAGCCACACGCTGCTGCTAAAGCAAGGGCTACTTCACGACAGTGATAAAGCAAGAGGGTGTCATCCAACTTTCTGAGATTCCAGGCCTGCTGGCCCAGGGGCTGGCAGTACGTAGTGAGCTTCGCTGGCATTTGGAATGGCACTTGGAACGAACGGCATAGCTTTGCTTCCAAGCTGCGACTCTTTGGTTTCGTAGTGCGCGTGAAGGAGCGCACGCGCATTCTCTGCCATGCCCCGTCCAGACCTTCAATCACAGGAAGCACGCAAAAAAGCTAATACTTTCAGACTCTGTTGTTCCATGAAAATGGAAGTGCGCTCAGTGCATGCAGAAGGTAAAGGTCTGAAAGATAAGACGCAATATCGTTTTTAGATGCCTTTCCTGTTTTAGAGGCATCTGATGCTCTTTCTAATTTTGGATATGGTTTGGCCCAGCTACAGGGCCTGAGCCATGAGTCTGAGTGCTGGATGATGTCTTGGTCGGTGGTTGGGGACCGCAGAAGTGAGGGAAAGCCCCTTTTTTCGGCCTTTATGCTTGCGTCCACTATTGCGTGCTGCAAAAGTGTTCCACAAGTGAGACTTTCAGAAAGGCAGCCTGGAGGCAGACATTTGGAGCTGGCCGGGGTATGCTTGCAGGCCTGATGTCGGCCAGTGGTGACCAAACTTGGGAGACTTCAGAGACCCTGCTATAGACCGGAAGGCAGTGGTCTTGCATGCAGGGTGAAGATTTCGCGATGTTGGTTGATAGCACTAATTTAAGGAGAGGGGTTAGGCTAGGCCTTCCTCACAAGAAGCCACTAATTGCATGCCGTGGTGCATGATCTGCCTCACTCTCATTGACTCTCGTTGTTTCGTCGTACTTCGCTCTAGTGGGCCACAGTGTTTCAATCGCCACCCATGCATGAGACATTTGCAAGTGGAGACTCCGAGAGGAGTTGAAGCACCCGAATGTGGTAGAGTTCGCTGCTCAATGGTTGGCTGTCTGTGGTACATATTGGCGGGTTTGTTTCGCTGGCTTGCTCGCAGATGATGAGGCTGAAGCATGCCTTCTACACTTCTGGAGAGAAGCCTGGCGAAACGTATTTAAATGCAAGGAACTCACATTCGGAGATGCAAGCAGTCGGGTATGAACTTACGTTGCAGCATGTTGCAGCTGCCATAGGCCGTAATCATTGCCAACTGAGGTTGTGATGGAGTACTGTTCCGCACGCTGCCCAAGCGGTTCCCGTACAACCTTTTGATGTCACTGCGGCAAGCGGTTGGGGTGCGAAGCAAGGACACCGTGTATCGTGTCATGAAGCACTACAGCAAGATGAAGCAGCCCGTCCCGCACATTTTTGTGCAGCTTTACAGCTACCAGGCAACCTCAAGTGTTTGTGACAAAGCTCAGTGTAGCCTTGGTTTGTTTGGCTGCTTCTTGGCAGCCTGTTGGGGGTAGAAGACTTGAATAGCATTGATCATGATATAAACTGCTGCCTCTGGGATGGTTTCCAAAACGTACATATTCCCTTGATCAGATGGGCCGGGCCTGCGCCTACATCCACGCTGTTGGGCGCAGCCCCAAGATCACGTGGAAACTTGCCACATGAGAGAGAGAGAGAGAGAGGGACCTTAGCATATTCACAGCAATGGGTATGTTACACGGTGGTAACCAATGGATCGGGTCATGAAAGGCAGCTGCAGGATAAGTGAGTCCGGTTCACAAGCCAGTTGAGAAGGATTGGAGCCCATTGGAACAGCCCGAATGTTTTCATTGGCCTGTAAGTTATGCGCTGGGTTTGTCTGTTGACTGTTGTGATTGGGGCTAGCATTGCTGCGAATGGAACGCACCTGAAACAGCGATTTCGCACTTAGATCCGTCCATGCTTCTTCAACATGTAGCTCAAGGTATGCATGTTGCTTGCTTCAACCAAGACGCGAGTCACACTCCAGGATAAAGCAAGGGCTGGCGAGCTTAACATCCGTGAAGAATGCTTTTCAGTGATCTCCACACGTTATCATGCAACTGATCGAGCATTTGTACGGTTGCTGGCAAGCACTGCTGTATCCAACAGTCCCGTGTTCTTGGAAAGCCAGCGGTTGGAGCGTTCAAGCTGCTGTCGAGGAAGCTTGCTGGTGCTACAGCTTTTTGACGGGTTTCAATGGCACCACAAAATAGCAAGCCAGTGCCGGGGCAACCTTGACGACAGCTCCGCAACAACATCGCAAAGATGCATCTTGACATGGGCCGAAGGGCATGCCTTAGCCGCGGGAAACACACGACCGTGGAAAGACAGCGCAGGTAAGCTTTCACACTCAGATCAAAAAGCTGCAAGTTCAAAGGTATCAGCCTGCTGGTGAGCACAAGTCCCGAGGAATAAGCTACTGGTTTGCGCGCTATGTTTGTGTAACTTCGTGTGTCGGGCATTGAGAGTGTAAGGTAGACTTCCTGTCTTTTGAAGCACCCAACATGAAGTTGGTGCAAGGCGTGTGCCCCTCGAAACGTCTTTTGAACTGCTCCAGCTAAGTGTGCACATTTGCTTCATGAAGTGACCCCAAAAAAGAAGGCTACTTTTCATCGCCGTGCTACGTCGATGGCAGGATTTGTCACCGAGACATCAAGCCGCAGAACTTGCTGGTTGATGGGCACACGCATGCCCTGAAGCAACGCTGGCCTATTAAGCTGTCAGACACAGTGCTGGAAAAGGTTGTCAAGTTTGCCTTTGAAGCAGGCTGTGTGACTTTGGATCTGCGAAACCTTTGGTCAGAGGAGAGCCAAACGTGGCCTACATTTGTTTTGGGCTTATGCGCAGATTCTGAAGGAGCATAATGCATGCCCGCTGACTGTTGAGACCGGTGACTCTTTTGATCTCTAGGTTCCAGATACTATCGCGCTCCAGAGCTCATCTTTGGGGCAACTGACTATGGCTTTGCTGGGTCCTTGGTTGGCACACATGTTTGAAGGATGCCATTTGGCAAAGCTGCCTCAGGTGATTGACATCTGGTCGGCCGCGTGTGTCTCTGCCGAACTCATTCTCGGGCATCCCATGTTTCCTGGCGAGAGTGGGGTTGATCAGCTCGCCATACCCTCAGATTTGCAGGCCACACAAAGAAGTAGACTCATTCATCAAAAAGCACTGCATGCGAGGCATTGACAGTGAGTGTTAGGTCGAGATCATCAAAGTACTCGGTACGCCGACCAGAGAGGAGCTCATGGCCATGAATCCGAACTACACAGAGTCGGTACCTGACAGTATCTCATTTTTGCCAGGCGCTGTTGCAGCTGCATAGCGCTACTGGCTGCAAGGTTCAAGTTCCCACAAATCAAGCCGCATCCGTGGCACAAAGTTTTCAGATCGCGAACATCTCAGGAGGCTGGGTGGCTGGCTGTTTGACGGCTTGTGCAGTAGAGTTCACTGATGCATTCGTGTGAAGCTTGTATTCAGCGGACTAGGCTGTGGACTACATATCCAAACTGCTCGTGTATGACCCAAAGCTGCGACCCACCGGCTTGCAGTGTTGCATGCACGCCACACGCCTAGCAAGCTGGAGAACTGTTTTCCTTTGGCTTGTCATCGTCCTTTGTCTCCATGAATGAAGCGAGGCTTTGTTCGATGACCTCCGGGACCCCAACACGTGCCGCGGCCACCCTTGGGCATCTGCACGGCTGGTGCTCGACTCCCTTGAGTGTGTTTTTGATTCGTTGCCAGGCGCATCAGCAGTTCAAAGCCACTTCCGGACAGATGCAGCTTGAACAAATGATAGTCCTAAACATCGGAAGCGGATGCACTGATCTGCAGCGGTGGGGTGGTGCCAAAACACCCGGTTGTGCATCTGCTTCCGCTTTCCTTGGCGATGGAGAGGAGCACCTCTTCGTTTTCTCCAAGGAGGAGTTGGCAGGGATCCAAGTTGCACAAGTTGAGGGCAAATCTGGAGCCGGTCTTGTGCCCCACCTCTCAGCATCTGTTTTCCAATTTGAAGCTGAAGCAAAGGCTGCCATGGATGCTGACATGCAGAGGAAGCTCATTCCTGCTTGGGTTGCTCAGAAGGCACAGCAAGACATGGCAGCAGTCAACAACATGGCCGCATGGAGCGCTGTCTGCTGTGAGCGCCTTTTTGCAGGCCGAAAAGGGGAAGACGCCGTGAAGTGACGCTTAAAGCGATGTCTGCAGTGAGCGCGGCCTCGGAAGCATCAGGGTCACCAGCAGTCCTGTGGAACTGCAGGTGTGATGTCTGATGTTTGCCATGACTGTTTCAACAGCTCTCTATCTGATCGTGACAATGGCTTTAATGCACTGCTGAAGTGCGTATATCATCAGAGTAGAGCATAGAGAGCGATGGCTCAGATTTGACGATCGGTCTACCTGGCCAATGAAGGTTCAAGTCAGCACTGACGTCATGCCTTTCCACACAGGCCGTGCGCTGCCTTCTTGAAGTGCATGCCCCTTGTGTATGCCTGCATTGCAACTGTGAAAAATGAGTGTGGCTCGTGCTGTCTTCCTGTCAGTGAGCGAGCGAGCGAGTGAGTCAGTGAGTGAGGAACGACCTGGGGTGCACTCCGGCCTACGGAAA